TCTATCTATCTATCTATCTATCTATCTATCTATCTATCCATCTTTTTTTTTTTTTATTCAATCCTGAATGGACACAAGCCTGCTTAGAAGAACTGTACATTCCTGTGATGTCTTAGAAGAACCCTGTATGTCTTTATAAATCATAAGAACTTAAAAATGTTCTCCTGTGACCTCACAGGAACCTAAAAGTGTTATTCTAGGACTGGAGAGTTCTGGTTCTTCAGAAAACCCAGTGGAACCCAAAAATAGCTCTTGGCACGAAGAAGGTTCTGTGAACCGAAGGTGCTGCAAGAATGACTGAAGATCCTTTATTTTATTAGCAGTGTGCAGTGTTTGCTCGCTGAGGGATGTTCACCTGTCTCAGCATTTAATATCTCTGAGAGCGAGGGAAAGAAAAAGAGGGAGAAACACAGAACTGATGAACAGAGAGCAGCAGAAGTAATGTAATGTTTTCTTCATGATGAAGCACATTTGTCTTGTTTATCCATAGGGTATTCTCCTCCTCACAAAGCAGCTGTCACAGAAACATTCTCCGAAGAGCTCTTAATGCGACAGAACAACGGGAAAATGTTTGCATATGTTTTTGTTTGCTACTAATCGCTCAATAAGTGAAAGAACATTTCTGCTGTTATTTCTCCCCGACTGTAATTCCCATTTGTCAAACAGAAAAGCCCCATTAGGAAGATTTCATAACACGGCTGCCTGTACAGTTCAGCGGGTTCCCATAAACAGCAACGAGAGCCCAGTTTATCGTAGTCCTGTAAACAGAAGAATAATTTCTTGATGTTATGGCTTCAGGATTACAGACTTTTGATTGACAGGTTTTTCCTCTGGTTTTAGTTCTTGCTGAGCTGGAGTTCAGATGCTTTGTTCACTTCTTCATTGTGTCATTTTTACATAGGTCTATACTACGTGGAGAACACATGAATTAGCATTCACAATTGTCTGAATTACAGTTATGGCATTTTGGGGCTAACTTGACCGTGCTAGAAAATTGTGGATGACATTTTATGTAACACGGCTGTTTACAAGTGTAAAAAAGAGGAAAATGGTATTTACACTTCAGCAAGATTGCGAATATATTGCTTTTATTGTACAGTTAGGTAAACAATAATTTAGTATTTAGTAACTTACAAGTTATCTGTTTTTGTTCCGCTAACGAAAATAGTTCCAAATAAAACGTTTTTGAATGGTTCAGCCTATGACTTAATGACTCACTCATAAAGACACTTGTTTCATTACTGAATGATTCAGAGAGAATTGATTGAATAAATAATTCAATGACTCACTCATAAAGCCACTTGTCTCCTTACGGAATGAGTCAATGTTGTTGAGTGAATTGGTGGAATGAATGACTCAGTGACTCACTCAAAGCACTTGTTTCATTTCTGAATGATTCAGTGTTGTTGAAAGAATCAGTTGAATGAGTGATTCAGTGACTTACTCATAAAGCCACTTGTTTAGTTTCTAAATGATTCAGTGTTGTTGAAAGAATCAGTTGAATGAATGATACAGTGTCTCACTCCTAAAGACACTTGTTTTGTTACTGATTGATTCAGTGTTGTTGAGCAAACCGGCTGAATTAATAATTCATTGACTCACTCATAAAGACGTGTTTCCTTTCTAAATGATTCAGTGTTGTTGAAAGAATCAGTTGAGTGAATAATTTAATGACTCACTCGTAAAGCCACTTGTCTCGTTACTGAATGATTCAGTGTTGTTGAGTGAATCGTTGAATGAACGACTTAGTGACTCACTAAAAGCACTTTTTTCATTATTGATTCTGTGTTGTTGAGTGAATTGGCTGATTCAGTGACTCCCTCATTAAGAGACTTGTTTCGATACTGAATAATTCAGTGTTGTTGAGTAATTTGGTTGAATGATTGATTCAGTGACTCACTTATAAAGACATTTGTTTCATTACTGATTGATTCAGTGTTTTTGAGTGAATCAGTTGAATGAATGATTCAGTGCTCACTAATGCATAAAGGTGTATCTATGTAACTGTACTTAACACTATATCCTATATCAGGCCTCTCGTCCAGTTTGTTCTATAAAAAGTAAAGCTAGTCCAAAGTTACTTAATATTATGTTATCAAGGTATTTTTTGCAGAAATTAATTTTGTTGTTTAATTAATGAGAATAATAAATCATGGACAGCTGTATAATCGTGTTTGGTGCTGTGAACATCTCATTTCTGTTCTTTTACTCAGCTTGTCTCATAAATTAATCAGTGCTGCGTATTTCAGCAAAACAATTCTCACAGCTTCAGTTTCATACTGAAAATCAGTACATATGCAGATGATATCTGCTGAAACAGAAATCTCTAGCCTTTCCACACGTTTTTGAGTCTGTGGTCTGTTACATCAGAAATGTGCGCTCGAAGGGAACATTGATGGTGACTGATGATAATAGCAGAAGTGGGTCAACAACAGCCTTGAGAGAGACTTCTGACTCATGTGAACATATGTGTGTGACGTCAGCAGGGTTACAGCGTTGACAAGGTTATTTTCATTCAATGTTATTCGCTTGTGCTCATCAGTTCTTGGCAGTGAACGCAGAAGTGCAGACGCCGTGTCCTTTCACTTACCAGCTGCGCTTTGTCAAACCTGCCATCCGCTCGGCTGCTCACACTGGACACGATTAAAGACATTCAAGATATATATTCGCTAAAAACAACACACACTGAATGCATCTAGTTTTAAGCACTATATTACTGAAAACAGTGCATATACAAACACATCAGTTTCATATTTTAAGCACAAAAACATTCTTTCCAATGATGCAGAACATTAACAGAGATTCTGTGCTGTTTTTCTCTGTAGGGTTGAAGTTAAAGTCCCGGAGCATCTGATCATACAGAAGAACAACAGAAGATGTGGCCGTCGAGTGCAGAAGAACATGTGTCTGTCCCCGACTGATCCGTACTCGGGCATTCTCACTACCGGTAACACACACACTCACACACACACACACACACACACACTCACTCACACACACACACACTCACGCACACACTCACACACACACTCACACACATGCACACTCACTCACACTCACTCACGCACACACACACATTCATGCTCACACTCACACGCACACTCACTCACACACACACTCATGCACACACACACACACACACACACTCTCATTCTCTCCTGCCACGATTGGTCGATTATGTACAATGCCTGCATGCTACTGGTTAAACTACTTTTCAGTCAATGCATTCAGCAAGTATGAAAACACAAAGCAAAAATCCAGACATTTTAGGCGATTTAGAAATCCTGGCCAGGACATGTCTGTAAAAAAGAGGGCATACGTCATAACAGTTATAACCATGCTTGTGATGAGTGGAGTTGTGTACTGAGTGCTGGTGTGTGTTGCGTCTCAGGCGTTACCGTAGATACAGATGAGCACTGGTGCTCTCAGATCAACAGACTGCAGCAGCTCATCGACAAACTGGAGTGTCAGGTGAATACACTCAAATATCCACTCACACAGAATATTCTTTCTGTCTTGAGCATGTGTTTTAATATATCATGTTCTAAGCCAATTTTCATTTGCTTTTCATTTTTAGAGTCCAAAGTTGGAGCCGCTGAAAGAAGATACACTGGCCAGCACGTACAAGTCGGTGAGTGATCCGATCCGCCGCTTCATAAATCCAGTCCATGTTTTATATCTGATGCATCATAATGCAAGAATTCACCATGTTAAACTTTGTTAAAAGACTATTAGGAGAAATCTGGAATTTTTCAGAAATGCGGTTATAAAGAAAAATACAGTTTGAATGAAAAGCAACAGTGGATGAATGCAAAGAGCGAACAGAAGTGTAGGATCAACTGAAGTTCAGCAAAATTGTGAAAAACATGATTAAGTCATTCAACTCAAAAATGAATCTTTTGAGTCAGATCTTTTCAGTTCACAGAATCTGTCTGAATGATTCATTCACATCACTGATCCAGTCTCAGCGGTTAATACGGGAAATTTATCAGTGAATAGCAATTTCATTTTCAGTCTGTTCCTGTCAAATAAAGCACATATGAATCATATAATGGACGGCTGTGCCTTTCTGGACCTTTTGTGTGCTTTTTGAAGCTTGTGGAAAATAAGCACACTTTAGCATACTTTTAAAAAAGAGTACTTGTTATGAAAATAAAATACATAATACTAAATAAAATGTTTTAGACACTTAACTGCATGTTAAGTACAATTAAATGAAAGTATCATATCATAACTACAACTTTAGAGTGATTTTTGGCACAAGCAGGACTCAAGTATATCTTTTTACTTCTATTGTCTTTGAAACGTGGTTTCTGAATGTACTGACGGGCATTTATGGTAATCTAAAATATAATGTCTTTTTTTTTTTACTTGTATATCACGTATTTAAATATATTTGTAATTACACATTTGTAATGATGATGAAATTTAGTGCATTTAAAATAGATTTCTTAAAATGTATTATCCAAGAACACACGACTAAGTACTTTACATGTGCTTTAGTATTTTCATAAACACAACAAAATAAGTGTACTTCTTTAAAGCATGCCAAAAGACAATTAAAACATAATATCTTAAAATGTACCTCAAAGTAAAACTTTAAATTTGACTTTATTACATAGTGTACTTTTAGAAACAAGTGTATTTAAGAAACAGTCATGAAAGTGTTCTCTTATCCGCCGCTTCATAAATCCAGTCCATGTTTTATATCTGATGCATCATAATGCAAGAATTCACCATGTTAAACTTTGTTAAAAGACTATTAGGAGAAATCTGGAATTTTTCAGAAATGCAGTTATAAAGAAAAATACAGTTTGAATGAAAATCAACAGTGGATGAATGCAAAGAGCGAACAGAAGTGTAGGATCAGCTGAAGTTCAGCAAAATTGTGAAAAACATGATTAAGTCATTCAACTCAAAAATGAATCTTTTGAGTCAGATCTTTTCAGTTCACAGAATCTGTCTGAATGATTCATTCACATCACTGATCCAGTCTCAGCGGTTAATACGGGAAATTTATCAGTGAATAGCAATTTCATTTTCAGTCTGTTCCTGTCAAATAAAGCACATATGAATCATATAATGGACGGCTGTGCCTTTCTGGACCTTTTGTGTGCTTTTTGAAGCTTGTGGAAAATAAGCACACTTTAGCATACTTTTAAAAAAGAGTACTTGTTATGAAAATAAAATACATAATACTAAATAAAATGTTTTAGACACTTAACTGCATGTTAAGTACAATTAAATGAAAGTATCATATCATAACTACAACTTTAGAGTGATTTTTGGCACAAGCAGGACTCAAGTATATCTTTTTACTTCTATTGTCTTTGAAACGTGGTTTCTGAATGTACTGACGGGCATTTATGGTAATCTAAAATATAATGTCTTTTTTTTTTTACTTGTATATCACGTATTTAAATATATTTGTAATTACACATTTGTAATGATGATGAAATTTAGTGCATTTAAAATAGATTTCTTAAAATGTATTATCCAAGAACACACGACTAAGTACTTTACATGTGCTTTAGTATTTTCATAAACACAACAAAATAAGTGTACTTCTTTAAAGCATGCCAAAAGACAATTAAAACATAATATCTTAAAATGTACCTCAAAGTAAAACTTTAAATTTGACTTTATTACATAGTGTACTTTTAGAAACAAGTGTATTTAAGAAACAGTCATGAAAGTGTTCTCTTTTTAAGTACACTTAAGTGGCCTTTTATTTCATTAATATTATATTATCTACAAGAAAGTTTTTTTTTTTTTTAAATGTAGTTTTACGTTTTGAAGTGCACTACAAGCACACATTCAATACACTTCTTTTATCACAAGGCCATGCACTTTCATTGTATTCTAAAATCATTGCATCATCCACGAGTGAATGAATAACGACAGATTCTACACAATGCTCAGATGTCCAGCAGAAACACTCACATGTTCTGCATGAAACCCCAAGCTATAGCATTCGTTCTCTCTCCAGTAGTCACCTGATGGCTGTGTTTCTTTCTTCTCTCGTCTAGAACATTCTGCTGGTGCAGAGACAGATGAGCGTGACAGAGAATGATCTCGAGGAGTTCCAGAAGGCTCTGAAGACCTACGCCGACACCACCGCCAATCAGAACGACAACCTCCAGTGAGAAAAACACACCACCAAATGATGAAGTTATTTATATATAATGACCTTAATCCTGTAAAGCCTGACATAGTTGGAAAACAAATACGTTTTTGAAATAGAACAGTTTATTGAAGACAAAATCTAAAAAAAATGTCGTTTTTGTTGAGATTAATATTTTATATATCAGGCTTTTATGGCTCATAGTGAGAATATGGAGGAAAAAAAACAGCTCAGTTTTATTCAGAGACTCAGAATAAGCAATTTGTAGTTTGTAATATATATAAATACTGACATAGTTGGAAAACAAATACGTTTTTGAAATAGAACAGTTTATTGAAGACAAAATCTAAAAAAAATGTCGTTTTTGTTGAGATTAATATTTTATATATCAGGCTTTTATGGCTCATAGTGAGAATATGGAGGGAAAAAAACAGCTCAGTTTTATTCAGAGACTCAGAATAAGCAATTTGCAGTTTGTAATATATATAAATATGCAATTTGGTGCAGATGCTGATATTTGTATGGACAAAAAGTGAGAAATTCTGATGCTTGTGATGGTGATGTAAATGAATGAGATCTATATAACAGTTCAGCAGATACTGACATAAATTATATAATAAATATCAGTGGTCACTCTATATCTACAATAATATGTCTTAGTAAGATGAGATTGAAATGCTCCAAACATATAATGCAGTGATTGAGAGCTGAAGAAATAAAGGCTCCTCAGAAGATGTGAGATGTTCTGGAGGCTTGTGAAGATCATTCCTCCGCTGAGGAACAGTGAAAGTAAAGCTTCTGGAAACAAACGCTCCTCAAAAGATCCTGAGGATCAGATTTGAGACTCTAAAACATGATTGATGGAGAATCAAGTAAAGCTGAGCTGCTTCAGTCCAGTAAGAGTTCATCTGGAGATATTACTGCAGTTATTCTGACCTTTACTTGATCAAAATCAGTCAAGATTAAACATAAAGCACGAGCTGAAGCTGGACGTTTGTACAGTTACACTAAAAGAGCTTTTACGTGATCATCTAAACTATCTATCAGACGACAGAAGGCATGGAGGAGATTGTGTGTGAAACAGGTTTAAAGCATCATGTTGATCATTTAGAGGCCTTAGAAATGTGTGTATCAAATATTAGGCTTTATAGAGTTAATATTCCCATAGCTGACTGTGTGATGAAACTCAAAATGCAAATTTTGAGACTATAAACCCTTACCAAAAAGAAGTATACTTCAAGTTTATTTTATTAAGTATACTTAAGTAAAGTTCAAGTATATTTTTAAGTATACTTTATGTAGTAAGTATACAAATATCAGTGTACTAGTAGTATACTTGTAAGTGTACTATTTCAATACTCCTTGGGACTAAATTGGCCCACTTTCTAGTATATAAATGGATACTTTTAAGTATACTTTAAGTATAACAGTAGTAAACTTTGAGTACATTACATCTATGTTTTTAGTTTGTTCTGCATCTATACTAAAAGTGAACTTATAGGTATACTGATAGTTTACTAATTAAATACTTGTAGCATTTTTAGTACACTTTGAAGTATAGTCTCAGTAAACTACTAGTTTAGTAGTTTTATACTGCAAGTATACTCGTAAGTTTTCTTTAAGTGAACTTTACATCATACTTTAAGTATACTACTATGTCCCTATTTAGGTATTAATTTGTATACATTTTGTTATATGAATAGGCTATCTGAACATGCAAACATCAAAAGAAAGAACAGGGTATCTGCTTGTAAACAAAAACATTTTATTCTAGCTTCATGCATTCTTTTTATAAACACTTGAATGTGGGTAAGTTTCATAAATAAAAAATAAAGAAACAAATAAACGTTTTGAACAAAAAGCTGAAAAAAGACTATGAATTGGATTCAGAATGATAATCAAAATGTAGATGTCGATCAACACCCCAAAACTTGACAGTCATTACCTCTTCATGGGTCAACGTTTTATTCCATAACGTTGCACAGTTTTAATGCTGTTTTATGTCTGATCCTGTGACATTACATGTGGAAGCATCTGTTGTTTCGGTTTCTTCTTGGCTTGTTTTTGTACAGAAGATGTGTAATAGCGCCCCCTACCGTACAACAATGAAAACATGGATTCCCGGAGCACAAGTAGCTATAGCTCAAATATATATATTTTTTTATATTTTTTATATTTTTTTAAGTATAAGTCAAGTATACTTAAATGTCATTTTAAGTATATTTCTGAGAAGTACATAAAGCCCATTTCTGAGAAGTACATAAAAAGTAGACTGAAAGGACACTTTCCTATTTTTAGTTTAAAAGAAGCATACTAATAGCACACTTGAATAAACTTATTTTTGTAAGGGAAGACTAATGAATAGTTTTAGCACCAGAATGTTCTCTCAAACGCTGATGCACTGATTCTTGGTCTGTCTGTTTCTCTCGTTCAGTGTTTCCATCCAGAAGCTTCCCGAGAAGAGCTGCTACATCATCTATGAGTTCTGGCAGGACCGTATTTCCTGGATGAGGTGTGTGTGTGTGTGTGTGTGTGTGTAAGTGT